CATTTGGTACCTCGTAACTACAGGAGCCAACTGCTCAGATAGGAAAGGGGTGAAACCTGGAAACAAGTTTGTGCCCTGCAGGACAAAGAGGAGCACTAGCATGTTTCCGTAGTGCAGGGCAGAGCTTAGCAGAGGGATTGAAACAGAAGCAGTGAGGGCCGTCGCATCGCTCAGACAGAGAGGATAAATCCAGTTGCAGGAAAAGAACTCCAAGGACAAAGCAATGCAGCCACAGAAATTAGAGATGGAGAAGTAGCATTATGTCATCTCGCCTTTCCTTCTGGCCAGTCGCTGGGCTGATTTCCTATTCTCTTGTGCTGTTTGAAAATGACTTCAGCAACTTGGTTTCTGCTTGTTCCCGTGGGGAACTTCCACAGCCTATAGATTTCCCTGGTAGGAAACTCTTCTTGACAGTCAGGCTCTATTTTCCTTTGCTCGATTCCATCACATCACTCCTACTTACGCCTCCTTGGAGCACCCTAAATGCTCTTCCCCACTGAAGTCGGTGAAGTTATGTGAGCAGTAAATTCGGCCCGTGGCACTTGGAGAAATAGATATTAAAGCCCCAGGGACAAATTAGGGGGTGAAGGGAGGGAGGGCAGCGGGGGAAAGGAAATGGTTTCAGGTTGAGAGAAACAAGATCTCCTCTTACATCTGTACAGAGGCGCTGCCCACTGCCCAGCTCTGTATTGGGGTGCACAGCCCCAAGCACCGCTGTGGCTGAGCCACATCTGAGAGCTGTGGCACTTGGTGTGGGTGTGCAGGGACTGCATGAGGCCCTGGGCACCTCCAGGGATGGGCAGTGGCTGCTGGACCAGCGATCTGATCCCAGGATCCTGCCTGAGCCTCCCTGGGGTAACACTAACTCATGTGTTTTTCAGGAGTAAAATGCCCTTAGCCCTCTTTGCTGGCTGTTACCTCACTGTCACGGCATCAATATGAGTACAGCAGATGTGTGTGGTGATGGACTTGCTATGGGATAACAGCAGAGGCAGCTGCCAATGGATGCACTGAGTTCTTTCATCCCCAGTCCTCAGCTCCCCTCTTGCCTCAAAATCACAGCAGCACAGCATCGCCCAGCACCCCCTGCACATGTGGCAGAGGAGGGGACGACTCTGAGGGCCCCCTAGGGTGGAGCAAATGGAGTAAACATCCACAGGAGCTCTCCTCTGTGAGACTGTGTGCAGGGGCAAGGGTGGAAGAAATGGACCAATGAGGGACATCAGTGTGCTGTGACAGACCATTAAGGACAAAAGCATTATAGGCAGACACACATCTGAGTATGAAATAGCATGCAGAAGCCCCAGGAGAAGCCCTGCAGCTCAGTGTTCCCCCAAAGCAAGAGGCTTTGGCTGCCCACCTCCTCTCTGACTCCTGGGTGACACAGCACAAGGATCTTCCCATGAACACACACCTGCTGAACATCATTAAATGGGAGATGGCTTTTTCAGACGACATCAGAAAAATGGCATCTTGCTGGAGCAGAACCAGGAGCACCCAGCCCTGATTTTGGGTGCCTGCCCTGAGCAGGACCAGCTGCTCCTTGCAGATCTTACAAAGAGCTGTGTGCGCCCTGTCATAAACCTACAAGTCTCCATACTTCAGAAATAAAGGTAAAGAAAACACTTTGCATTTCAGAACTATCAGTCAGTTAACTTTCACCAAAAGAACAGATGGATTTTCTAAGTGGGGAAAGCAAAGCACCAAGAAGCTCCACAAAAGGCCCAGAGGATGGGAGATGAGAGATGCTGTGCAGGGTAATCCTCCAAGGAGGTGCTGGAAGCACGAGCACGAGCACTGCAGCCCCACACTTCAGTTTGTGTCCTTCCTCCCCAGTGCTGCTCTATGGAGCTGCCCCCCCCCCTCTGCCCCTCAGTGATAACTCTCCCCTTTGCCACTCCTAAGGAGAAAACTCCCAAAACCCAACTGCAGAAGATACAATTACAGTAAAACCTATCTTGGGGCTATTTTACTTAAAAAGCCAATCCAACTTTTACAAGCTACAGCTGACATATATTAAGAGCTTAAACCAAACTTTCTATGACATTTTGTTGATGTTATCCCGGCTGGTGCTGGTAGACATAAGGAACAATGAGAATTACTCCATCTGAAGGGTTTTCCCCTTTCCTCCTGCGTGTCACAGAGAGCTGTGCAGGAGCTCGGGGTGGGGAGGTGGGCACAGCCACAATGTCACCTGCTGAGCAGCCACTGCTTTATGGGCTTTACGTGGCCAGCTCCTGTTTAATTCTGCTCCCAGTCACCAGTCTGGGTCAGCCTGCAGAGCTTCACCAAAGCACCGAGAGAAACTGGAAAGTGATTCCTCCTGTGTTACATCCCTGCTTGCTTCACATCCCTTTCCTGCACCATAGATAGCCCAGCAACGCCATCTATTTTAACTCGCAGCAGAGAAGTGCTTTGCAGTGCTTTGCTGTTTGACTCCGTAGCTGCAGCACAGATGCTCTCCACAAGCAGATGTGCTCCCAACGTGTGCTTTGCCAGCTCCTGGTCCCAGGCAGGATGGTGCTCCTGGCACTGCACTGATGGGTCCAGAGTGCACTTAGCTCTGCTGTTATCCCCTGGGTGACTTCTGGGGAAGTCACACTCTCCTCAGGTTTTTATTACCCACTGGTTTAGTTTGTGTGTAACTCTTTGTAGCAGGGATTGTTTCAAAAAATGATGGCACACCACCCAGTGTGGTGGGAACAATCCACTCTTCATGCATCTGAGATATGATGAAGTCTGCATTGTGATGTCACCTCTTGACACACAAGAAAATCGAAGTCCTTTGTGAGAAGATTTGCCTTTTGTTCTGCAACACGTTGGTGTCAAAATTAAGAAAAGGCAGAGGTTTTGTTAAAGCAACAGTGCTCTGGGGTTGGGTCCATCTAGTCCTGTGTTCTCTGCAGTTTCAGTAACAACACAGTAGAAAAGCCGTATGTGTGCACTGAAGCTGCCAGGGTGGGTGTTTGTTTGCTAGAGGGATGTTGGGTAAGGAACATCCATGGAACGTGGAAAATTCCTTTGGGCTCCTTGGAAAGCACTGGCATGGCCTGGTCCTGCAGGAGAAGCTCATGGAGCTGCCAGCATCTCCTCTGCCAGCACTCAAATTCTGCTTTTGTAGGCCTCCTCCCTGCATTTGCCTGCTGTCTTATTCCTGGTATAATAGATAGTGTCAAACCTTGCCAGGTGTGGGTGCAAAGGCAGGGATTTCATAAAATACAGTTTTACAGAGCCAACAGATAGAATCATAGAATCACAGCATGCTTGGGTTGGGAGGAACCTCACAGCCCCCCAGCCCCACTCCTGCCATGGGCTGGCTGCCCCCACAGCTTAGGCTGCCCAGAGCCCACCCATGGCCTCGAGCACCTCCAGGGATGGGGTACCCACAGCTCTGGGCAGCAGTGCCAGGGCCTCACCATCCTCTGAGTGAAAAATTTCCTCATCACATTGCACCTCAGTCCCCTCTATCGATTGACGGGTAGTTCCCAATGCTTTGGGAACAGCAGGCACTGACTGAGATGTCCACAACACCATGACATCCCCATGCCCAATCCCCAGCTGGCAGCATGGTGAACAGAGTGAGGAGCTCGAGGACATGGGGTTTGATGATGGTTGGACTTGACCTCAAGGATCTTTTCCAATCTAAATGATCCTGATTCTGTCCTTCTGTAATCCTATCATTCTGTGATGGTACAAATCCCACCCTGCCCATGACCTGCAGGAGCACACGCTGCCTTCCTGCTGCATCCAGCAGGGCTGTGCCCCTCCGTGGGACGGCTGCATCCTCAGCTAACAGAGACACTGCAGGAGCTGAGGGTAACGTGGGCTGACAGGTATAATCCAGAATTGCATTATCTTGTCTTACGGCTCTTTTTTGTGTGTCTGTACAGCAGGGAGACCTCTGAACCGTTGTCTTTACTCTAGCAATTAAGCTTACTATTTTACCATTAAATCTGGTTTGGGGATAAGGGTGGGTCTGCTTCACATTCCTGAGTGAGAGCCCTGGGGGACGATGCAGCCTTGGGGGGGAGAAGTGGGAGAGGGGAGGGACCCTCCCACGTGTGAGCTGACAGCATCCCGAAAGCCCTCCGACTTCGGGCCTCATCCTGACCGGTGTAGGACGGTTTTACATCCCCAGAACAGCGGCTGGATTGGCAGCACTGAGGATCCCTGCAAATCCCACCAACATAACGGGGAAGCGCCGCGGTCCCCGTTTGTCCCCGCGCTCTCCCGGCTGACGATCGGCCGTTCTGCGCGCATCCTCCGAGGTTTCTTTAATCACTGCGTTCTCAGAACAGCCGGAGAGATGCGATATTTTGGGAGAGGTGTTTCAGATGACAGCAATCACGGCTGTGAAGAGTCGTTAAACGGCCTCGAGAGCCCCAGAGCCGGCAGTGCCGCGGTTCGGTTGGACACGCGGTGCTCACGGGGCGCTGCGCTGGTTCAGCCCCGCGGGGCTCCGCACGGCTGTGCCCCGGCTGTGCCCGCACCGTCCCGCCGCAGGACGAGCGATCCGGGACCCCATTGCCGCAGTCGGGGCCGTCCGCTCCACCGTGGACCTCGCCCGTCTCGACAGCGTGCCGCCCTGTCGCGACACGGCCCGCTCCGCCGCACCGCGCGTTGCGAGTCTCGGGCCGCTCCCGGCCCTGCCGGGGGCTCAGCCAATCAGCGCCGCTCCTCACCGCCCACCTCGCCGGCGCTCCGCCCCCTCGGCCCACCCTCTCTCCTCATAGGCTGCGGTCGGGCTCATTATGCGGCGTGGCGCGGCGCTGATTGGGTGTCGGCGCTGCCCGTCGGCCGGCCTCGCTCTCCGCCCCCGCCGCTGCCTTTGCCTGCGCCGCCCGCGGCGGCGGCGGGGAGAGCGGCGCTGGGCGGGCAGCGGCCGGGGGCCGAGGGGCGGGCGGCGGCCGCGGGGCCGGGGCTCGGGGGAGCCCATGCGGCGCCGGGCGGCGGCGGCGGCGGCGGCGTCGTCCCCGCGCTGAGCCGGGCCGGGCGGTAGCCAGCCGGGCGGGCGGCCCCAGCCATGCAGCCCGGCGCGCCCGCGGGCACATGGGGCAGCGCTTGAACCGCTGCCTCGATGTGCCCGGCGCGCTCCCGCCGCCGCTGCTGCCGCTGAAGCGGAGGCTGCTGCTGCTCTCCATCATGCTCTTCCTCTGGCTCTACATGTTCTACTCGTGCGCCGGCTCCTGCGCGGCGCTGCCCGGGCTGGCGCCCCGCGGCTCTGCCCCACCGGAGGACAGCGGTCCCGGGGAACCGCGGGCAGCGCCCGCCGCGCTCAGCCCCATCTCCGCCTTCCTCAACGGCTCGGGCAGCAAGCGGCTGCCGCAGGCCATCATCATCGGCGTGAAGAAGGGCGGCACGCGGGCGCTGCTGGAGTTCCTGCGGGTGCACCCCGACGTGCGCGCCGTCGGCGCCGAGCCCCATTTCTTCGACCGCAACTACGAGCGGGGCCTCGCCTGGTACAGGTACGGGGCGGGGATGGAGGGGGGGCGGCTCCTGGTACCCTTAAAAAAACGAAAAAAAAAACCCCAAACCCGATTAGTTCCTACCAAGCCTCCGCGCGGAGTGCGCTGTCCGAGGCGGTGCGGGAGGCGGCCGGGCGGCTGCGGGCTTCGCGCTGAGCAAAGCGCACGTCATCTTCAAATAGAGTTAAATATTAATTTTTCCTTCTCCAGCTCTCGCTCCATGCGGTGGTTTTTTAATTCCTTGCGCCGGAGCTCCGGCCGCTCTCGGACCGGGGCAGCGCTGCCGGTGCGGGGCGGTCCCTGTGCGCTGCGCTGCGTTGGCTTATTCCGAGATGAGAACTCGCTCCGGATCGCGGCT